GAAAGCATCAGGAAGAACAGCTAATGGGTAATGGGTTTAATACCTACCCGATGGGTTGATCTGTGCAGCAAACTACCATGGCACATGTATGTAACAAATCTGTAAATCCCGCACATGAACCTGGAACTTAAAATAGAAGTTGATTAAAAAAAAATAGTAGGTGCGTGATTGTGCCTGCTGCAGTCCAGCCTACGTAACACAGGGAGACCTGTTTCTAAACATAAATAAATAAATAGTAGGTGTAACAGGTGTGAGAAGGCTGGAAGGTGCTGGAAGATGAGACACAATGCTTGGTTTCTGATCCAAGCATTCAGTGTCTGGTGGGAGAGAGAAATACAAAGAAATGATCCCGGGGCGGTGGTATAGTAGGGAAGAGACTCCTTGAGACACCACAGAGGGAGAAGCAAACTGCCGGGGAGGATAGTGAGGCACAGATAGACATGGTATGGCCTCATAGTGAAGTGAGAAGCAGCATCTGAGCTGAAATTGTGCGGGCGATGATGGGATGCAGGGAGCAGCATGCAGAGTCTTGGAGGAAGATCCATTACTGCTGAAGGAGAGAGTGGATGTGGGGCAGCATCAGAAGACAAGACTGGAAGAATAGGCAGAGACAGATTTCAAGAGATCTGGATGCCATGAACTGCAGAAAGCCTTTTTTTTTTTTTTGAAGAAAAAGTTGGCTTTGAAGGGAAAAGGCTTTTTAGGCCTTGTTTTGGTACCTCTGCAATAGTTAAAAATGCAAAGGCAGACTAGAAAGATGAAGAAATGGGAAATTGTGACATGTGGGAGAAACAAAGGTGCTACCCTCCGAAGGCATGGCTGAGCCTAGGAAATGGGAGGGCAGGGCAGGTGGAAGGTGTTTGCACCAATGATGGGGAATGTTTCGTGGAAGAAGTGTCTTTCTGATGTCATTGGGTAATCCCGAGGCGTAGACCAGACCCGCGGGGGAGCCATGGCCAGGCTGATTTGTCTTTGCCATAGGAATGTTTCCATGCAGCTATGCACAGATGCCATGGCTGCCTATGAAGGAGTGAGCTCCCTGTTCCTGGAACGTGTTGTCCAGTGTGTTGGACGTACTGGCCGGCCAACAACTGAGCTAGTGAAATTTGAGAATTTCAGCTTCCAGTGGGCCATTGGATGAGACAGTTTCCTGGGTCCCTTTTAGGTCTGAGGATCTGTGATTCATATTTACTAATAGACTGGGTGGAAATCATGTTGGGATCAAAGTGTGAAACATTCGATTCTAACACAATCCACTCAGAGAAATGGTAACTTTGCAGTTTTCATTATTTATGTGTTCTGTGAGGATCTTTCTCAGTGCAAGGCACTTCTATAAGCCTTTGTCAGAATTTTCAGCCCTTCCACAATTGGTATGATTCCTTCAGAGCTGAACTGTGAACCTGCTATGGGCTTAGCTGGGAAAATGTGTCCTCCATGTGAATCTAGATTGGACCATGTCCCCAGATGTGCCCCAGAATCAAACTTGCTCCAAGTTGGGGTCATTTGACCCAAGACCATTCTAAACCACTGCAGATTCAATATTTTCAGAGTTAAGAGGGAGCTCAGCCAGCCACGGGGAGAGAACAGAGCCATACACACATCGGGCAGGAATGGTGTTCTTGCTTTCACTGGCTGTATTCTCAAATATGCGTTCTTCTTCTCGTTCTCTTCTCCTACCCACCTGTGGAGCTGAGTAATAATAATAATAGCCAATATATTGGACATTTGTAGTATTAATGTGTGACACATATTTAATCTCCTCAACAACCCTAGAAGTAGAAGGTTTTTTTTTTTTTTCTTGCCATGGAGTTTCACTCTTGTTGCCCAGGCTGGAGTGCAAATGTAATCTCAGTTTACCGCAACCTCTATCTCCTGGGTCAAGCAATTCTGCCTCAGCCTCCCAAATAACTGGGATTACAGGCATGCGCCACCACACCTGGCTAATTTTGTGTTTTTAGTAGAGATGGGGTTTCTCCATGTTGGTCAGACTGGTCTTGAACTCCCGACTTCAGGTGATCCACCCACCTCGGCCTCTGAAAGTGCTGGGATTACAGGCATGAGCCACCATGCCTGGCCAGAAGTAGAAGTTTTTATCTCCACTTAGGAAGAAACTGAAGGCCAGAGTGATTAGAACTTGCCCAAGTTTGCGGAGCTGGATGGAGCCGCTGACTCTGGCTCCTGATCCTGAAGTATTCAAGAGTCCCGTGTATGACCGCATTTGATCTCTTTTAAAGGTTCAGTCAGTGATCTTTTTTCTCATGAAAGGGAATAGAGGGTCCTCATTTTCCTCTCCACTACCAATATGCATAGAAATGTTATGAGACTGTGTCTATGAAAAACATTCTATCATAAATGTGAAGCACAAAGAAATAGAAATCATTCTATTATAAAGATACATGCATGCGTACGTTCATTGTAGCACTATTTTCACACACTGACCATGCCCATGAAACCACCACCAAGATCAAGACTCAGAACACAACCAGCTCCCCGAATGCCCTGCCATACCCGTGGCTTCCATCACCATAGCTCAGCTTTGCTGTCCTTGACCTCCTCCTATGGATCATGCCTCGTGTCCTCTTTTGTATCTGGCTGCTTTTGCTCAGCATTTGTAAAAGCCATCCAGTGGTGTTCTGGTCAATTGGTTCACAGAAGACAAAAAACAAAACCAACCAAAAAAAATCCAAAAACAAAACAAGACTTCATTTTTAGCATTTACCAATGTCCACACCTCCACCATGGCTGATGGCAAGCTACCAATGATTTAAATTCCAGACTATTTCATGATCAAGTCTTGTGAGCTGATATGGGCCAGCCCTGCCATCTGCAGGACTCGTTCACCTGCTGACGTGTGGTTGCATGTCTTGCATTTTCAGTGTCCCAGGTGTACAGATATGTGGGCTCTTTTTATTGTGGCCTTTGGGCAAGTCACTGGTTTCGAAAGCAGCCTCTTTGGGAAATTTCATTTCTGTAGCTCTGCGATGCTGTTGCAGAGATGCGAACACTGGCGCCAGAAACCTGCGGTCCTGGTCTTGTCTCTACCAGTAACCCTCTTGACTCCCATACTCAACCTCATCCATGCAGATGGGAAGCCGCATACCTCCTCACAGGCTTGTGAGGTCACTTACCACTCATTGGGTGCTTAATAAAGGTTTCCTCCCTCCCTTTCTCTCTCTTTTTCATCTCAGAGAAGGTGACTGTACCTTGAGTGAAGTTGTATGGAGATGTAGGAATCCATGTGCCTCCACTGATCTTTGGAGTGTTTTGCTCTGACACCCAGAGCCTCTGCAGGATCCTCTGAAGGGAAGGAAAGGAAGGAGGGAGGAAGGAGAGAAGCATGAAAGGAGTGGAAGGTGGGAAAGGAGAGAAGGAAGGAAGAGAAGGAAGAGAAGGAAGAGAAGGAAGGAAGGAAGAGAAGGAAGGAAGGAAGGAAGGAAGGAAGGAACGAAGGAAGGAAGGAAGTTGAGCCTATCAGTTCTGTCCCTGTGAGCCTGGAAGAAGAGTTCTGTTGACAGATGGACCGTTTGAATTGGCTGCCTGTGATGGACCCAGAAGACCTACTCACACATGGAAATGATGTTCTTTTTGCACCAGAGTCTCCTTGTTCCTGAATACAGTCAGTCATGTGTCACTTAATAATGGGGATACATTCCGAGAAATGCATCGTTAGGTGATGTCGTCCTTTTGTGAACATCACAGGGTGTACTTACACAAGCTTAGATGGCATAGCCTACTACACACCTAGGTGTATGGTGTAGCCAATTGTTCTTAGGTTAAAACCTGTACAGCATGTTACTCTACTGAATACTGCAGGCAATTGTAACACAATGGCAAGAATTTGTGTATCTAAACCTTAAAAAAACACAGGAAAAACACAGTATGAAAGATTAAAAATGGCACACCTGTGTAGGGCACTTCCCATGAATGGAGCTTGCGGGATTGGAAGTTTCTCTGGGTGAGTCGGTGAGTGGGTGGTGAGAGAATGTGAAGGTTTAGGACATTGCTGTACACTGCTGTAGACTTTGGAAACACTGTACTCTCAGGCTAAATTTATTTCAACATTTTTTTCTTTAATAATAAATTAACATTAGCTTAATGTAACATTTTTACTTTATAGATC